CTGCAATTTCAGAGCTGCAGCTGAAGGAGAGCAGGTTGTCAGCAGGCGAGGGCAACATCATCATGCTCCAGAACCTGGAAAATTACAAGCCCGCAAGGTGATCGCAAACATCGTGAATGATGTACCTCTTCAGAGACAAACAAGGGCGTGAACTATAAATCGAACCCTAGACATGAAGGAGATGGATACGGTCGATAGCCCTCCTTCCGCGACCGTGAGATCGGAAAACCGTGATCGGGAAACTGACCGTTCGGGGAATTTGTCATTCGGGGAACTGTCCAGTCGGGGAATTGACCGTCGGGGAAATAACCATTCTGGGAATTGACCAGACACCCCTGGTGGTGGACGTTTTAGGGGGCGTATCTTGGGGCCCGGCGTCACGAATAAAACAGAAATTTCGGATTTTTGTGTTGCACGCGTGTACCAACCCACCGTATCTTTTTTTTTTTAAACAAAACCTGTGACTAGTCAGCCAATGATCGTTCGGAATGGAATGACGCTATTGCACGAGGAATGGTTCGCGACGGAATGCCTACCGGGTTCTCTGGAGTGTGCTTTGCCGTGAAGAGGTTCGTATTGGAATGCGATGGGAGCGGAAATCGTGGGACTTGCCGGCCCGGTCGTTCTTCCTCCGGCCGATGCGGTGGGACTCGGTGGAAGACGATGTCCTCCACCCCCAAGGAACGCCTTCTTCACTTTCACCCATTTGGACTGTCGGATGGTTCCTGGTGAACTCTGACCGCCCGCCGGCGCCTAGACACACGACAGACCGTTACCGTCTCCGTCTCCATTTTCGATTCGACATTCCATCGTCACGATCGCACTCACATGAGGCTTTTCGTTTCCGGAGTTTTCGAGCTTCAGGTAATCGGGTTCCGAGATCTTCCTCTCGGAATGCTTGTCGTGGAGGTCTTCTCGAAGGTCCAAAAGCATTCCGGCCGAAGTGGAATGGATCATTCGGATCCCCGCCTTTGGAGCTTCGTTCCCGGGAATCGAAACCGTGAGTTTCGGTTTCGGCTTCTTACCGAGACGCGGAGAAGTATTCCTCATCCCCTCGCAATCCTCGAGGATCTCGTCCTCGACGTCGCTCGCCAACGATATCTCCAGACTGATTCCACCCTGGAAATCTGCCCCACAGTTTTCGTTCCTCCCGCTTTTCTTCCTGCAAGTGTCCTTCCCGTGCCGAATGATGTGCTTCACCTTCCCCCATGGGGTGTGCTTGTGCTTGCCCCGATCGTCCCGCGGGGATGTCTTCCGTTGGGCATGGAGGAACTTCCCTTTATCCCTCTCTGACTTCGGATCGGCAACTTCCATGGCCGGCGGAGGCGAGGGTAAAGACGACCGTCGAATTCCTCCGGGATCTTCCGCACTCTCGCTGCTTTCCAAAGATATCTTCCGGAACGTCCCGATCCTCACCGAATCTACTAAAGGAAATCGATGCGTGAGGACGATCGCTCGTCGGTCGCGTGACCTCTTCCCGACGTGTCCTCATCCGACGATGACATCCTCCCGTATCCCTGAGACCTTGGGACGATGGGGGACGTCGATGTCCATCGACTCCCGAAAGTCTCGGGGGTTTCGGGATGTCATCGGATGACTTCCATCGGTGGATTCCTTCGTTCGCGATGCGTACCCATCGATGGAATCCGCGGATGTGCAAACGCGCGGTTCTCGGGTGGAACTCGTTCTCGAGAACCGAGAAACTTGGGCTAAACTCACCGAAGTTTTCGCAGTTCCAATCGAGGCCAGGGAAATCCTCGGAAGAACTAGATCGAGATCCCTGGGACGAATCTCGCCGAGGAACAGACTCCCTGTCGTCCACGTCAACGGTATGCGATACGGGCGAGGAATCTCCCACTCCCACTCTTTCCCACTTGAAGGCTTCTTTCACCTTGGTCCACTTGGATTGTCGAAGGAGTTTCCCCTCGGCTTCTCGCACGTCGGCTGCCTTTTCTGTCATCGGCTCCATCTCTTCGGATCCCATGCTTTTGCTTCGACCACGACTCTTGAGAAGGGTCCGTCTCCGCCTGATCGTTGCCTTGCCGGACCGGACCGTGCCGAGCTTTTCCTTTAACAGACTCTCCGCCGAACCGCGACGAAGAAGTGGGTGTTTTCTACGGTCGGTCGTCTTCCCAAGCCCCGAGGAATCCCGACACCCCGTCGAGAGATCCGACTCCAGTTCTCGATGCATCTCTTGCAGGTTTTTCAGGTCTTCCAGGTACTGAACCCTCTTTTGAAGGACCGAGTTCTGTTCCCTGAGATCCGTGAGTTGTTCCATGAGTTTGCACAAGTTGTCGAGGTGATCCAGCCCGATCTTGGGCTTCTCTCCCGTGGAGGCCCTCTGGTATCGCCCGTCTGAATCCAGGTTTCCGCAGACGTCGACACCCGCTTTCGCGTTCACGCTGAGGAGAGTGCGAATCGAGTCTCTGTCGGGCGAACCCTCATGGGTGGAACGGATGGGGAAGATCGGATGTAGAAGAGGCCTAGAGAAACTACGATATCCTTCACCCGCCCACTCCTCCTCTTCCATTTTGGAGTTTGTTGATCCGAGTGCTTCTATTTTCGTCTCGCCGTTTTCTTCACCATTCTCCAGCCTACGACCACAGGGGGTGGGGGAGAAGGGGAAAGAAAAAAGTCATGCAATGAAACTTCACGAAAGCATGTCACATCGAATCGTCCCTTCGACTACGAAAGTTAAGGGCCGATTGCATGAACGATGTTTTCCCGGTGTTTTTCGAAAGTCATCGTTTAACCGTTGTCTAAGGTCAAAAATGGATTGCATGAACGCTATCTCCCTTTAACCATTGTCTAACCGATG